CTGCTGTAGCTCGCGCAGGAGGAAGTACCGCAGCTGGATATGCTTCGCTCTGCCCTCGAGTCGAGGCTCCTGACACAGGAGGATCATGGCCCTGTTGTCAGCGTACAGGACCGGGGCAGAGCTAGGCTGCTCACCTAAGTCAGTGAGCAAGAAGGTCAGCCAGCGGAGCTCCTGTGCCGCCATGGCACCGGCGTAGATCTCAGCCTCACAGCTGGACTGGGCAACAGACGAGGAGCGGGTAGCTCTCCACGAGACAACACCTGAGCCAAGGCTGAAGCAGTAGCCCTGGGAAGACCTGAGTGTCTCGCCGTCGTCTGCCCAAGAAGCGTCTGTGTGTCCTGTCAGGACCACCGGCCTGCGTCCGCCTAGCACTAACCCCATGCCCGATGTACTTGCAAGATAACGCAAAACCCTCTTAGCTTCAGACCAGTGCTGCGGTCGGTGTCTGCCTGTGACCACAAAGGGCGCCAGGATGCTGAGAGGGTATGCGAGATCTGGGCGAGTGCAAGTTATCAGGTACATGAGGCAACCCACCAGCTCAGCGTAAGGACCACTGGGATCTACCGACTCCTCAGGAACTGGAGTGGAGAGTCTGTGGTCCAGAGGAAGAGGGGTGGGCTGTGCTGAGGAGAACTGAAGGCCGAACCTCTGAAGGACCTGGCGCACCAAGTGTGACTGAGTCAGGGTGATGGTGCGCGCGGCTCTGTCCCTGGAGATCTGCAAACCAAGGTAACGGCGCAGCTCTCCAAGGTCAGTGCAAGTGTGTCTCTTCAGCAGCTCTGCCTTCACGGAGGCCAGTGCGTCCCAGTCTGCAGTGGCAAAGACCAGGTCGTCTACGTAGACAAGGATGTAAAACGGAGTCTGGCCAGCACGAACAAAGAGTGAGGGGTCTGCAGAGGACGGAAAGAACTGCAGGTCAGCAAGGGTAGCACGCAACGTGTCGTGCCACTCTCGGGGCGCCTGGCGCAGGCCGTAGACTGGGCGCCGCAGAAGCCACTGGGTCCCAGGAGGGAAGGTGCCAGTAAAGCCCTGAGGGCGACGCAGGTAGACCTGCTCGTGTAGGCTGCCCTGAAGGAAGGCAGTGGAGAATTCGAGGGAGTGAAGCTCGTAGTCACGCTGAGCCGCTACGTGTAGCAGAACCCGAAGAGTAGTCATCTTCGGGGTCGGAGCGAAAGTCTGGAAGAAGTCCACCCCCTCGCGCTGACTGAAACCTCTAGCCACGTAGCGCGCCTTGAACACAGGCGGCTCTCCAGGAGGGCGCTTCACCTTGAAGAGCCAACGGCCATCGACTACGTTCACCCCAGGTGGGGGAACTGCGTCGACGAAGGTGCTGGTGGATCTCCAAGATGCCATCTCCTGCTCCATGGCAGCTATCCACTGAGAGGCCCAGGGTCCCGAAACCGCCTCAGCGTAAGTACGAGGGGTCGGGATGTTGAAAGCGTCTGGGTCACCCTCAGGGACTAGCAGCATGGAACAGAGATGGGGAGCAGCCTCGGACAGGAAAGCAAGCTCGAACTGGCGGTCCTCCAGGACGTCACTGCCGAGGGCAGGAGCACCCCCGACAGACGGAGGACAGGCAGGGTCAGAGACCAGAGCGGTGGCGTAGTCAAGGCGGCGGGCAGAGGCGAAGTCAGCGACCGCAGCGACAAGGGCGTCAAGGCTCGAAACCGGAACAGACGGGTCGGTAACGAGAGAGGCAAGGACCCGAGGAACAAGAGGACGAGCAGCACGAAAGAAGTCAAACAGAGGAGGAGACGCAACTGTAAGAGAAGACGGAGGAGGCGACGGGAGGAGGGGAGGACGAGACGCGTGGGAACGTAGCAACATAGGGTGAGAGCGCGGGGCGGGGGAGACAGGACGAGCACGGGAGGGACGGCGAGACCAGACGTGGGAGGGAGGCGTCGGGTCAAGAGACAGAGGAGGGGACACGGGTGGGGAACGAGGGGGAAAACGAGCCGGGGACGAGTCCGGCGGAGGGAACACAGGGCCGTAGACGGGAAGAGGAGGAGACGGCAGGAGAGGAACAGGCGCAGGGTCAGGGGACGGAAGGCCGAGCAGACGAAGGGCGGACACCGGCGGGGACTGCTGCTGCTGCGACACAACACCAACACCAGGGCCGCAAGCTGCGCGACGGCTACCTCCCAAACCCTCCACGCCGGCACCCCCAAAAGGGACACCCCCAGAGCCCGAAACCCCGCCACCGCCGGTACCACCCCCAGTCCCGCCGGGACAAGCCACGACAGAAGCCGCGGGACGAGTACCCACCTCAACTCCAGCAACCCCAGAGTCCACGAACGGCGGCAGCGACGACAGCGGCGGCGGCGGCGGCGGCGGCGGCGGCTGCAACAACTGCTGCGACGGCGGCGACCCTTCCCCGAGCGAAACTGCGCGGCTGCAGCAGTCTCAGCCACAGCGACAGAGCCGTCGGAGAAGGTACACTGAGCGGGGGCACAACCCTGAAAGATAGGGACCGGTACTGTACCGCTCGCCTGGGCGATGGAGCGGTGGCGAGTCTCGATAACAGTCAGGGTGTCTACGAAGTCGGTGAGGGTGAGCTCAGCGGGGTGAATGCTAAGGAACTGGTCGCGGGCGGCGGCAAGGCGGCCAGGGAGGCGGGTGGCAAGCAGGTAGAGGGTATAGGTCATGGGCGGCTGGTGGGCTCTAAGCTGTGCATCAGTGCAGGCAGCGCGCCAGGTCTCATCTATCGAGCGCAGGTGGGCAGCTAGGTCAGAGACAGTGGGGAAAGACGCAAGGTCAGGAAAGAGCATCGGGAGGATCAGGCGACCCACGGAGGCAGCAGGGGGGGCAGAATAGCGCTTGATTACAGCATCTAAGTAGGCCTGGGCGGTAGTGATGGACCTAAAGCGAGGGCGCTCAGGCGGGGGAAGGGCATTGCTAATGGCGAGCTGAGCAACAGTGTCTCGGGAAAGCCAGACAGAGCGTGCTAGGGCAGCGGCGGCAGTGGACTCGCGCTCAGCGGGTGTGGGGTCGGCGGGGAGCACAGCATGTGGGTCTGGGCAGGGGAGCGTACCGTCAAGGTGTGCGGAAAGCGGGTGGCCATCCTGCCGCTGGCTAGTGAGGTGGCGGCGGAGGTTGGCAAGCCACGCCTCGAACTCTAGTGGCTGACCTTCAGCATCGAAGCGAAGCTCCGCCGCCATCAGGAGCAGGGAAGGACTACACAAGGCGGTGCAGAACAGTGCAGTGCGGTGCAGTGCGGTTCAGTGCGGTGCAGTGCGGTGCAGTGCGGTGCAGTGCGGTCCAGTGCGGTGCAGTGCGATCCAGTGCGGTGCAGTGCGGTGCAGAGAAGTGCAGTGCGGTGCAAAGCGGTGCAGGGAACGGGGGACAGTGCCAGGGAGGATGTAGGGCCGGGGCTGTGACGACGAGGCTGGGCAGGGCGAGACGAGGCCGGGCAGGGCGCGGCGAGGCCGGGCAGGGCGCGACGGGGCCCGGCAGGGCGCGACAGGGCCAGGCGGTCGCGACAGGGCCGGGCGAGCACGACGGGGCCGGGCAGGCGCGACGGGGCCGGGCAGGCGCGACGGGGGCCGGGCAGGCGCGACGGGGCCGGGCAGGCGCGACGGGGCCGGGCAGACGCGACGGGGCCGGGCAGGCGCGACGGGGCCGGGCAGGCGCGACGGGGCCGGGCGAGCACGACGGGGCCGGGCAGGTGCGACGGGGCCGGGCAGGCGCGACGAGGGCCGGGCAGGCGCGACGAGGGCCGGGCGAGCGCGACGGGGCTAAGGGAGGGACGGGGCCCAGGAGGGGCGCGACCGGGCGGGGAGGTGCGACAGGGCCCAGGAAGGGGCGTCTGGGCTAGGAGGCGCGACGGGGCCCAGGAGGGGGCGCGAACGGGCTAGGAGGCGCGCTAGGGGCCCATGAGGGGCGCGACTGGGCTAGGAGGCGCGCTAGGGGCCCAGGAGGGGCGCGGCTGGACGAGAGGACGCGCTAGGGCCCAGGAGGGGCGCGACTGGGCTAGGAGGCGCGCTAGGGGCCCAGGAGGGGCGCGACTGGAGTAGGAGGCACGCTAGGGCCCAGGAGGGGCGCGACGGGGCTAGGAGGCGCGACGGGGCCCAGGAGAGGCGCGACTGGGCTCTGAGGCGCGATAGGGCCCAGGAGGGGCGACGGGGCCCAGGAGGGGCGCGGCTGGGCTAGGAGGAGCGACTGGGCCCAGAAGGGGCGCGTCTGAGCTAGGAGGCACGATAGGGCCCAGGGAGGCGCGACTGGGCTACGAGGGACGAAGGGCCCAGGAGGGGCGCGGCGGGGCCTAGCGAGGGTAGGAGCGGAAGCGATAGGTGGGGGGGGGGGGGGGGGGGGGTCGAAACCTACGCGTGATACCATATCAGAGTAGAAGAATTGAATAGAAAAGAGAGAGAACTTGTGAATATACCTTAGAGTTGTACCCTATATAAGATATGACTCTATTCAGTCTATGCAAACATAGTAGATATACATGTTTGACAGGGGGGAGTACGCTGGGGAAGCGTGAGGAAAAGGCTCGAGCGAAAGGGGCCTGCTCTGAAACCATGTTAAACTAAGCTAGGTAGGAGGGAAGGGAAGCCATGGAATGGCGTGAGATTTAGGAAGGAGAAAGTTGACGAGAGAAAAGAGAGTCGAGAATAGAAGTGAAAGGGATACAAGGAGGGGGGTTGTACCCTCTACAGTAGGTTTCAGTAACACCTACCAAGCCTACCAATTATAGAACAAAATATATAATTGAACAATTATGGCTGGTTGCCAGAGAGGCGTTTACCGCCGACACTGGAAGAGATTTCTTCCTTGCTGCAGTGCTGAGTCTGGCTGCCATATTTCTGAAGCAGTTACTACGGGAGTAGGTAGGTAGGTACTGGTAGTACTAGGTAGGTAGAACGGTAGTACCTACTGTAGCCATTATCCAGCCTCATCTGAAAGACATTCTAAACAATGTGAGCTAAGCTTCCCCCCTTGTGCATTGTCTGAGGTTTGTTTGATTGAACACAGTTACACTACCCTCCAGCTCCAGGCCAGGTGTTTTGTGCAATTCATTAGGGAGACTTAATGAAAAGTGGCTACACGACTACATGGATGACATAAGGACGGTACCTACAGCAACTAGGCTTTACATCACATTACATTACAGCAAGACCTGTGGGCGTCCTATCCTATCACCATGCCTGCTTGCCAGCTTATTCCCTTTGACAGCAGACAAGCTTCCTCTTCACCTGGCTTTGGCAGGATTACACCGGGCGGTCCCTTTCTGTTACTCCTGCAGCTGCTGGTTCTGCTGCTGGTTCTGCTGTTGATTTTGCTGCTGGTTCTGCTGCTGGTTCTGCGGCATAGCCACCATAGATTGACTGCAGAGCTTCTATTAACTACCCCCCCTGCTGCACATTGCCAAGTTGCTCTCCCTCCCTCACAACCCTCCTCTCTTCTCGCTCTCCCTCTGGACAGCCCTCTCTATCCAGCTGAAGTCTCCCAGCCACCCCCCAACACACCCTCCCATGCCCACTACCCCTGCTAGCCCACCTTCTCCACTCCACCCTCCTGCGCTCCCTCTCACTGCAAAATCCAAAACCCCATCACCAACCGCACCAGAAGCAGCCGTAGCACCAAACCCAGCAGCACCAGCAGCAGCAACACCAGCTATCCCGGCCCCTCTACACACACCCAACTCAAGAGACAAATCCACCAACCCCCTTGGTGCTCCCCCACCTGCTCTCCCCTCTTGCTCTCCCCCCTCCCTCCCCTCCTCCGCGCCTGTCTCCTCTGCGGCTTTCCCAAGGCTCAGAGCAAGCCACTCTCCCCTCTTGCCCATCGCCACACCAGACGCACCGAGCGGGGATGCTTGCATGCGTGGCTCCGTTTGTCCCTCCGTCTCAAAGCCCACCTCACGGTCCAGTGGGGCTCCGAAGGCGATGCTTGAGTGGTGAGCAGTTGGATGCCTTCCAAAACACTCCTGCTGCTCTGCCCTCGCTGCAACACGCCGGGTAGGCAGTACTTGACTGCCATCTTTCCTCCAGCCATTGCCCATCTCGTGCTGTGGAAGTGAACTTTGAGTCGACTGTTGAGGTGACTCAAGTGTCATTACATGCCTGCTATCGCCCATCCGAACCTCGCCCATCTCGCGCTGTGGAAGCGCCTTGTGCTGCTGCAACAAGCTGTGCTGTCGCAGCAAGTCACACTGCTGTTGGTGGAACGGACCCCCCTTCTGCCCCACCTGTGCCACCTGTGCCACCTGTGCTTGATGTGCTTGCTGCCCTATTTGTGCGAGCTGTCCCACCTGTGCTGGCTGTGCCAGCCGTCCGAGCTGCTGCAACTGCTGGTGCGGCAGCATCTTGAGAGCGCATGTGGCGGCAGCCAGGGCTGCGATTGCTGCTGGTGACGGGGGAGGCGGGAGAGGCGCACAGGACGGGAGAGTGGGAGTGGGTGACTCAGGGGTGAAGGCAGCACAGGGAGCAGGAGCAGGCACTGGTGCTGCAGGGGTTGGTGGTACGGTTGGTGCGGCGGATGCAGTTGGCAGGGTTGGTAGGGTTGGTGCTGGCATTGTGGTCCCTGCTCCTGCTGCAACCGCAACAGCAGCAGCTGCTGCTGCAAGCCGCAGAGCCACAGCATCAGTATAGGTGCCCGTATTGGCACAGCTGAGAGAAGTGGCAGCAGCAGGAGCAGACGCGGGAGCAGGAAAAGGGAAAGGAGCGGGGGAAACAGCAGGAGCAGGAGCAGGAACAAGAGGAGGAGGAGCAGGAGGAGGAGGGCGCAATAGTGCAGGAGCAGCCCTGCCCGCACCCATGCCAGCAAGCCTGCTCACCAACCACGCCATCGTCGCTCCATTCGCCATGGCCGCATCCCCACTCATGATTCCTTGCACCTCCCCTTGCACCCCCCCTTGCACCCCCCCATGCATTCCCCCGTGCCCCCCTTGCGCGACCCCCTGCATCCCCCCTTGCCCCCCTCCAATGCGCCCTCCGCCCCATGTTTCCCCAACCCCTACCCCCCAGCACCTGGCGAGTCCCCCAGAACGCTTGCGCCTCCCCCCCCTGCCACACCACGGCCCACAGCACCGATCTGGACACTGCTGGCAAGGCTTGCATGGCTGGCAAGGCTAACAGGGCAGCCAGGCACGCCAGTGTCAGGCGCAGGGCTGCCTGAAGCTCCCTTGGCCGCAGCAGGAAATGCAGGAGATGCAGATGATGCAGCGGTGCTGGCGGTGCTGGTGAAAGACGCTAGCCACACAGCCAGGCTGTCCGGTGCTGTCAATGCTCTCGTGCTCCCAGATTCCATGGTTCTCATTCTTCCCTCTGCCCCCCCTGCTGTAGCGCAGGCTGCAGCTCCTGCAACAGCAGCAGGCGGTGCAGCAGCAGTGGCAGCAGCAGCGGCAGCAACACCAGCAGGAGCAGCAGCAGCAGCAGGGGCAGCTGTAGCTGCAGGGAGAGTGTCGGGGTTGGAGGGAGCAGCAGCCGGAAGGCGAAACGGTGCAGCTGCTGTTGCGGCAGGTGACGCTGCCAGTCGCCGCACTGCCACCGAAATACTGGCCTTCGTTCCAATGGTGGCTTTGGCAGCAGAAGCACTGCTGGTGCTGCTGGTACCACTTGAGCGAGCATTCGTCACCCTTCCAGCAGCAACAAGGCCATCACCAGCACTTGCACCAGCAGCAGCAGCAGCAGCACTGTCACCACCAGGAGCTGCATGGGGCTGGCTAAATTTAGCCTTCACCGGGAACAGCCTGCTCCAGTCACGCCCATCCTGCGCGCCGTCCTCTCTTCCCAGCGCACTGACAGTGGCTCCCCCCTCCCTCTGATTTAGATCGCCCACACTCTTCACCTTACCCACCTCCACCTCCCTCCTCTCCCCAGCACTAAAGTCTTCAGCCCTTCCTGCTGCTCCTCCTCCCCCTCCTCCCCCTCCTCCGAATCTTCTCCCCCCATCCACCTTCCCCTTTTTGCTCACAGCAGCCTTGTTTGCCCGCACCACCCGCACTGCCATCGCAGCAACCTCCGGCAAATCAGCAGCTGCCACGTGTCTGCCTGTGGCCTTGTCCAGCGCGTCAGCTGCCATGGCAACCAGGGCGTCAGGTGAATGCTCAGGTGAAACCTCCACCTGCCAGGTGAGCCCCCGCAGCTCACCCTGCCAGGTGGCAGACGCACATCCTTCCACAGCCGCAGCAGCAGCAGCAGCAGAAGAAGTAACAGCGGCAGAAGGGCGTATGCGTATATCCGCAGTGGCGGTGGTGGTGGCGGCGGTGGTGGTGGTGGTGGTGGCAGAAGTGGGAGGGGCGATGGCAGGGTCGTGGTTGTGCTGGCCTTCGTACCATGCCACAGCAAAGGCGGGCAGGAGAGAGAGGCGGTGAGAGAACTTGCGAGCCGTGCAGCTGCCCACCGTGCACTTGAAGTACTCTCTGCATGCATGCAAGGGGGAGGGAGAGGGGGTGGGGGAGGGGGGGAGGGGAGGGTGGTTGGAAGGGGAAAGGGATGTGGAGGGAGGTGCACCAAGAATGGCCTTGCAAGAGGTGAAAGTGTTGACAGTGCGCTTTGAGATGCCGCGAAAACATACACGCACGCACGCAAGCACAGCCACGCACGCACCCACGCACGCGCACCCACCTGCCGCGCATGCCTGGCTGCACGCCACAGATGGCCTTCTCGCCGTACTTGTGCCACAAGGTCTTCCGACATACTTCTCAAAGAGCAACAGACTCTAGCCAGGCTTGAGGCAAAATAGGATGCAGCAGCAGCCAGCACTTGTATGTAACTGACGCGCATGCCCGGCTGCTTTTGAGGGCCTCAAGATTAGGCTCAACGAGCAGCAGACTCTAGCCAGGCTTTAAGCAAAAGAGAATGCAGCAGCAGCAGGCGCTTGTATGTACCTGCCGCGCATGCCCGGCTGCACGCCACAGATGGCCTTCTCGCCATACTTGCGCCACGACCACCCGTCCGGATGCAGGTGCCGGGACGACACAGCTGCTGTGGCTGCTGCTGCTGCTGCTGCGGCTGCGGCTGCTGCGGCTCCACTGCTGCTGCTCGCACTCCCGCCAGCAGCTGTGGGGCTGCTTGCATCCTGGCTCTGCTGCTGGTGTTGGTTTTGGTTTTGCTGTTGGTGCAGGGCATGCGAGTGCGGCTCCCCCTCACTGTTGTCAGTGCACACGGGCATGAGCCCAAGAATGTTGCGCCCAGCACGAATGGGACTGGTGGGGGGAGTGGGGGGAGAGGGTAGCAGCAGCAGCAGCAAGGGAATGGGGAAGGGATGAGCTTAAAGCGAGGATCTCAAGAAGCAAAAAACCAAACCCAAAGGTTTTGGTTTCGGGGGGTCGCGAAAATTGCAAGGTGTGGTGAGGGGTGTTGGGGGGCCGGTGTTACTGTTTCGCTCGTTTCGCCAACCCGAAACCACACCTTTTGAATTTGGTTTCGCGCTTCTTGAGATCCTCGCTTTAAGAGCGAAGTGTGAGCATTGGAGAGTGCAGAGCAACAAGGGGCGTGGCATAACGCGTCTAAACAACAAAGCACCATCACGCACATGCACAAATAACCACAGAACTGCCCGCTTGGCGCAGCACTCACCGCTTGGCGCAGCGGCAGAAGCCGACGAGGCGGCGGGAGGCGGCGGAGGAGGCGGAGAGGTCGTGCACGAGCTTGAGCGCCCCTCGAGGCAGCTTGCCGCACGCCCCACACTCCTCGTACTTGCGCACCCGAGGTACCCGCTCCTTGCTGCCTGCTGCTACCGCTGCTGCTGCTGCTGCTGCCGCTGCCGTTGTTGCTGCTGCTGTTTTTGTGGGTGTTGTTGCGGCTGGTGTTGCTGCTGAGCGGCTCCTATTGGTGCCACTACCGCTGCCAGCAGCAGTGGCAGTAGTCACAGGAACAGCAACCGGCGCAGCGGTATCAAGACTCACTGCATCGTTTCCTGACCTTCCTCCTAGGCTGTGCAGCAGACTAGTGTTGTCCCTTGCTGGTCCTGCAACCACTTCCCTTTTGCCTTCCACTTCTTCCGATCCCCCTTCCCCTTCTCCCCTTTCCCCTTCTTCCCCTTCCCCACCACCATCCACCTCGTCTCCAGTCACCTCCTCTTTAACGCCTCCTCCCCCTCCTTCCCAACCGGCTCGGGTATCCTCGCACAGCCAATCGCGGGTGCCAGTGCTGGCACCGGCACTTGCTGCTGCTGCAGTTCCAGCGGCTCCCTGTTCCTCATGCTGCTGCTGCTGCTGTTGCCAAAACTGCAGCAGATGCAGATGCAGCTGCCCGCTATTGGGCTGCTGTCGCAGCTGCTGCTGTTGCTGCAGCGCAGCTGGCACTGCTGCAATTGGCGGCTGTGGCGCAGCTGCCACAGCCGCTGATTGTAGCAGCTGTGGCAGCTGTGACGCCTGTGGCGGCTGTGGCGGCTGTGGCGGCTGTGGCAGCTGTGGCGGCTGTGGCGGCTGTGGCGGCTGTGGCGGCTGTGGCGGCTGTGGCGGCTGTGGCGGCTGTGGCACGTGTTGCCAGGGCAAGTGCATCACGTCTCCTTGTTGTAAGAGGGAGGGCCTTTGCTGCTGCTGCAAGCCCTGCTGGTCTCTCTCACTCTGCCTCTCATGCGGCTGATGCTGCTGGCTGTGCTGGGTGCGTTGTTGCTGCAGGGATGAGCGTTGCGAGACCAGCACTTGTTGCAGCATGAGGACCAGAGGGGAGGGATGTGGCAGAGCAGCCGTCCGTTCTGGCCCCACAGCAGCAGCAGCGCCACCAGCGCCAGCGCCAGCGCCAGAAGCAGCAGCAGCGGCAGCGGCAGCGGTAACAGCGGCAGCAATGCCTGCAGTACTGGCATCGCCAGCACCAGCAGTGCCGATGGGCCTTGCTGAGAGTGCTGCTCGCAATGACATCGCGCTGTGTGGTGACGTGGCAGCGTGTGCTGATGTGGCAGGTGGTGGCTGCATGGTGCTGGCTTTGGCACCGTCGCTGGTGGTAGTACGGCGCCAAGTGCTCTCCTCAGCAGCAGCAGGGGCAGTAGGAACAGCAGGAGAAGTGGCGTCAGCTTCAAGCCTTGGCACAGAGTTGAGGCGAGAAGTGGGAGAGACAGCAGCAGTAGGACTTGAGCCGCCATAAGCAAGGGATGGAAACACTGCGTCTAGAGCAGCAGCAGCGGAAATGGCACCAGCAACACAAGCAGAAGCAGCAGCATCAGCACCAGCACCAGTACCAACACCAGCAGGTGCAGGAGCGGCAGCAGGAGGCAAGCAGGTGCCACGGAGCAGCAACAGCTTGCGTCCAGTCTCTTCCTCTCCCTTCTCCACTACCTTCCCAGCCTCCACATCCTCCGCTTCCTCCGCCTCCTCCTCCGCTTTCGCCGCAGCCTTGGCGACTTCGCCTGCCGCCACTGCGCCATCCGCCCTTGCTGCCACCTCCTCCAGTGCATCGCCTTGTGCTCCGTGCAGGCATGACGGCACCACTGCCTGCGCCTCTGCCTGCGCCTCTGCCTGCTGCTCTGCCTGCTGCTCTGCCTGCTGCTCTGCCTGCTGTAACCGCTGCTGCTGTGGATGCTGCTGCTCTGGCTGCTCTGGCTGCTCTGGCTGCTCTGGCTGCAGCTGAAGTTGCCGCTCCTGCAACGGTCGCTTGACACTGGAAGGATGGCGCGCTTGGGCGGTGCTGCCAGTGCCATCCACCACACTCCCATCCGCTGCCTCCCTCGTACCACCACCACTCCTCTTCTCCTCTTCCTTCTCCACTTCCTTCTCCTCCGTCTTCTTCCCCCCTGTAACAACCATTTCCACCTTTCCGCCCACCACCTCCTTTCCCCTCTGCGCACTCCCCTCCCCGCCTTCCCCCAGCGCGCCCTTCTCCCACTGCGCCCTGCTCCGCGCGCCCCTGGTGGCGGAGGGGCGGGGGAGGCGCGAGGCCATGCTGCAGAGGGCGTCCAGCAGGCTGTGCAGGAGCGCCCAGAAGGCGTCTGTTGCGCGCACGGGGGGGGGACGAGGCAGCGGAACAGAGGGGGAAGCAGCGGCCACAGGTACAGGCGCGGCGGCAGTACCAGCAGGAGAAGCAGCAGCGGCGGCACCACCGGCACCACCACTATCATCACCACCACCACCACCACCAGCGGCGGCGGCGGCAGAGGCAGCGGCGGCAGAGAGGCATCGATCGAGGGCATTAGCGAGGTCTGCGAGCACTCCGCCCTCGTCCACCTCATCCTCCAGCGTCTCCCGCCATGCCGCCTCACTCGCCCCGCTCACCATCTCAAACCGCAGCCGCGACACCAGCTGCAGCAGCTTGCACCCTGGCCCGTCCCCCGCCGCCCACGCCACCCTCCCCTTCCGTGCGCTCTCGTCCAGAAACCATTCATCTTCCTCCTCTTCCTCCTCCCCCGCATCCTCTCGTCCCTGCCCTTCGATTTTGTTTAGCTCCTTGCCATTCGCCACAGAGGCAGCACCGGCAGCACCAGCAGCACTGGCAGCACCAGCAGGACCGGCAGCACCAGCACCGCCAGCAGCAGCAGAGGCAGCAGTATCAGCGGCCTGCTCGGGCACCGGAGACGCGTTGAGGTCCAGCAGGCACGACGAGGCAGCAGGCGCCGACGGCCCGTGGGCGGAAGACGGAGAAGCAGCAGACCGCCGGGGAGCAGAACGGAGCGAAGCGGCAGATGAGGAGGAAGCAACGGGAGCAGCGGTGGGCGACGCACGGGCGGGAGGGCGGGGGTGGTTGTGCGACCCATGGTAGACCACAGCAGCGAGCAGAGGCCAGTCGGAGTGGTGCGGCGAAGTGCTAGTCGGTGCCAGGCGCTCACAGGACTTGGTGGCTGCGCAGCCGGGAGAGGCGCAATGGAGGAGATACCTGGGGAAGGTGGGGACAGGCGAGATGGTGGGGGTGAGACGGTGTTTTTCAGTCGACTAAAAAAAAAAAAAACGACAGGCGGTATGGGGGAGAGATGGGAGAGGGATGGGTTGATGGAGGTGCGATGGCAAGAGTGACATGGGAGGACTGGACGGCTGCCTCTGAGGGGGAGGAGAGGAGAGGGGCTGGGGGAAGAGGGAGGGTGCACGGTCAAAAGAGAGGCGGGAAGAGGACGCGATGAGGATGGAGGGGAAGGGACAGAGAGATCGGGGGGTGGGAGGAGAGGGGAGGTGGTGGGAGAACGGTGCAGCGCAGGGAGCAAGGCAAGGCGTCGTTGACGACGGATGGCGACGGATGACGACAAATCAGGCAGGAAGACCGTCGCCCCATGGCACACGGTCATGCCATGCCATGCAATGCCATGCCATGCCACCCCACGCCATGCCATGCCATGCCATGCCACGCCACGCCACGCCACGCCACACCACGCCACGCCACGCCATGGCCGTGCCTGGTGTTGCTGGACCCTGCTGTCTGCGGTGCGCTCTCCGCGTCCGCCCACTGCCAGTCGTCGCCCTCCGCGCACAACCACTGCAATGCCGCCCGCGCCCTCCTCGCCCCTGCTCCTGCCGCTGCCGCCGCTGCTGTTGCGCTCATGTTGAAGCTCACTATAACGAGGCCTCCGCCCGCCAGCCTGCCAAGAACAACCGCGGGGAAACAGGGGAGAGAGGAAGGCGGGGAAAGGGGGGGGAGCGGGGGGGGGGGGGAAGGGGAAGAGGTATGAGCGCGAGATTGGGCGAAGAGAAGCAGGCGGAGTGGGGGACGTGAATAACGGCAGGTGCGGCTACAGGGGGGGGAATGGGAGAGCCAGGGTGAAAAGCGAGGCGCAGGGGCGGCGGAAGAGCGGGGCGCAGGGCGGCAGTCAGAAGACGGGCATGGCATGGGACGGCGGAGATGGGCCTATGGACGGAGCAGAAGAAGCAGAAGAAGCAGAAGAAGCAGAAGAAGCAGAAGAAGCAGAAGAAGCAGCAGCAGAAGAAGAATAAGCAGAAGGCGCAGCAGCCGCTGACTGTTGACTGAAAGGCTCCATGCCAACTCCACAGTAGCAGCAACAGCAGCAGCAGCAGCAGCAGCAGCAGCAGCAGCAACAGCAGCAGCAGCAGCAGCAACAGCAGCAGCAGAGGGAGGGGCTTACTGCGAGGTCGCCTTGCCGGGCCGAGACCCTGGTCCCGCCGTGTGCAACCGCTTCGCTGGCGGCGGCATCATGGCGGGGAACGCCGAAGAAGACAACCCACGCGCACCGACGGCCACAGCCACACCCGCTTCTAGGCCGCTCCTCTTGCTCGCCTTCTCCTTCTCCTTCCTCTTCTCCTTCCGATCCCCCTTATCCTTCTTCCTCTCCTTATCCTTGTCTTTCCCTTTGTCCCGCTCCTTTCTCTTCTCCTTCTTCCCCTTGTCTCTCCCCTTCTCCCTCTCCTTCTCCCTGCGCCTCTCTCCCGCCCGCGCCTCTGCTCTCCCCTCCGCATTCTCCTCTCCGCCAGCCGCGCAAATCCCCCCCGCGTTTCCCCCTTCTGCCTCCGCTGCCGCCTCCGCTGCCGTCTCCGCTGCCGCCTCCTCTGCCGTCTCCTCTCCCTCCTCGCCTTGCCCGCTAACGGCGAGCAGCAGACGAGCCGCCTCGCTCAGATCGCCGCCATCGCCGCCATCGCCATCGCCGTCGTCGCCGTCGCATGTGTGAGTCGAGCGCGTAGCGGACGGAGTAGCGGCAGGAGCAGCAGCAGCAGGAGTAGCAGCATCCGTCGCATGTGAGAGTCGAGCGCGTTTCACCAAGGGAGCAGGGGCCGCAGCGGCGTCGCCTCCACTCATCTCCACATCTCTCTCTTCCCGCCGTCGGCACGATCCCGCCGTGGGGCTCGCGGGGCCACCCGATCCCATTGCGCCATCCGCGGGGCCACACCCGGAACTCTCCTCCTCCCGCATCCTCCGCCGCGTTTCCCGGACGATAAAACTGTTTGCCCCGGCGTCGGATGGCGGAAGCGAGAATGCTGATTGGCTCTCAACAGGAGAGGGATCCTACGAGGGTTCACCGACGGAGGGCGCCGCAGCAGACGACTTAGCGATCGCTTCGCAGCAGCAAGGGCTGGCGCGAGAGCGAATGGCGTGTGTGCATGGACGAGGGTTGCCTGACGCTACTACTCCTGTGGAGCTTGCTCGAACAAGGGCTGGATCCGCGCGCAGAGATGGCGGTCGAGCGAACCGCGGGAGGGAGAAAGGCGCAGCGATGGCGGCTCCAGAGGCCGAGATGGATGGCAACGGCTGTCGTGATTCAAGAGAAACGGTTGCGATTCTCTGACCGGCTGGAATAAAGAACGGTTAACGAGAAGGGTGAAGCGCGTGTGGAGTGTGGCGTATTGCGCGAGTGTGGTGTGGTACAAGGGTGGTGGCATGTAGAGGTAGCTAACCGCATTACTGGTCATTGACGCCTGCTTCTAAAGCTACTAAAGACGTCTAGGATTCGGATTCGACGGAGCAACATTCGGATGCGGCTTGCTGCAAACTTGAGACACGGCGTAGCGCTACCAGCGGATCGATTCTTCCAAATCCGCCTGCGATATCCAATCGAGCATGGCAAGTTAGTCGGCTATCCGTGAGCAACGAAAACCATGACCCCGCTGTAGCTTCCTAAGTCAACTATTCTGCTCGTGGGGTAGGAGGGCGTGCAAACTGAGGGATGGCGCACTTGTGGTGGCGAGAAGCTCATTCATGAGAAGCTCATTCACGTGCAGCTCACACAGCCAAGCTCCAGGTCGCGTTAGCTGCGGAGATTTCGCGGTGGAGGGAAGAGCAGCGTGCGAAGGAAGGACCATCAAGGATGAGGTCGGGACAGGGGCGGGAGGAGGTGGAGGGGAGGGGAGGAGGAGGGTGCCTTGCCGGGGTTTCGGTTTTGGGGGCGCAAGGACGGTGGTTGGGTGAATGCAGGGCAGCAGCAGCAATGAATTGATTGGACTGATGAAGAGGAGGGGGAGGGATGGATGGATGGTGATGGCGTGGCGGATGTGAGCAATGTTAGAGAGGAGAGAGGTGGGGATGGGCGGAGTTGGGCTGGGCTGGGGTGGTGGAGTTGGGATGGGAGCTGAGCTGGGTCACCTGCGTGCAAGCAAGCAGTAGGCGCGGCTGTGGGCAGAGTCCATCCAGAAGAGTCTGAGAGTAATAAAAAATGACAAAATCCGCGATAGGCAGCGTGTATCTGCTGATTGGGAGGAGCGAAGGTGTGGCTAGCTGTCAGGCAGCCCCTCGTGGGGTGGCATTGGGCAGGCACTCAAGCGGGGAGGGGAATGGCGGAACGGAAGGTGGCGGCGGCGGTGGCATGTGCAACGGAAAACATGACAATTTAGCTCCGTAATTTTTTCCAACAAGATTGCAAAGCCGTGGACACTTCAAACTCCTCACCAAGATTTCCTAGTGGAATAGGTGAAGCCAAACATGCAAAACAGCAAATAAATTTTCCACCTCGCCACCTCCAGATCACATCCAACAGAAGCAAGGTGTAGCATGAATCCTGGATCCTGCTGACCAGAAAGATGCACTCTCCACAAGTCTCCCAAGCGGGAGGTGAGGGTCCCACCCACCCTGCCCATCCATCTCTCCCCTCCCCACACACCCCCACCCCCCCTCTTATCTCCCCCCCAATCTCGGAACGGGGAAAGCTGTGGGGGGGCAAGTCATGCAGCACAACACAAGTCGGGATTGGAATTCCCCCTAAATCCGCTGAACTCAACCTGCAGCCAAACCAAAACTCCATACAGAAATCCACTGTACTTGGGCAGCGTCGAAAAGCTTGAATACACGCATGTACAGTCAGTGCTCGCCCAATCTCGTACGCAGCGCTTATCCTAAATAGATTACTTCCCAAAACCTCGGATTTAGGGGCAATGGGATAACGCACACAATCACATCTACACCGCACAGCTACCGAATCCACCACACGTTGATGGAGGGCGAAACGAAACGACCACTCAATTGCCCGTTGGGACCTCTGTTTATTGACCAGACACAAATATCTTGTTACAAATTCCACATTTCTGTCCCATTTGCCCGTGGCGAAGCATGCGAAATGAAGAGCTCGACATTGCCCCCGCAATTCGGGAATTTTGTTTGACTCTCTCGCTCTTAGACTGTACATGTACACGTGATGAAGCGATTCAGTTCAGACTTGCTCAAAAGCAGACCGTCAAAGTTGACACAAAGCACGAGCCCATCGCGCTCGAGAGGTTCATGCGTAAAAGACAAGCCAATCAAACCGAGGCCTCGACCACAGCAAGCCTCGTTCCCGCTTGACAGGGAAGCTTCGCGTACAGACTTGCACTCGGTCAGTCAAGTTGTGGACCTCCCAGCATGACCAGCATGACCCGGTTTCTTTGTTATGGGGATGAAGTGTGTGTTATGAATGAACAAGCAGAGTAGCGCGGAAATGAATAACGAAGTGTTCACTCAATGAATGACGATACAAGGAATGGCAAGCCAAGATATAGGAACACCAGAGCTAGTCTTACCCTGCGATGGTAAGGTTCGGGAAGGAGATCGAAGCGTCTCGAAGTGACGAAGCGAGGCCCGGAGAACTCCCGAAGGTCGAACCGAAAGGTCTGGAGAAGCCGAGGCGGTTCTGTCAGGTCTGGAACAGTCCCGAGGCTTCGGGTGTGTTCGAGCGAACGCGATAGCAGTACCGCTCGGTAAGGAATGGAAAATTCCTTACACCACCCCCACCCCCTTAGCGAAGGTGATCTATATCAGCCACGTGCTTGCGGTCCAAATAATTCGCAAGTATCGAAGGTGACTGTATCTAGTCCGAGGGCACCCACGTGTCGTCCTCACTGGTACGATTGGTCCATCGTATCAGAAAGTCAACGTGTCGTCCTCGACCGTCGATACGAATCCGATGGCTCAAGATCTTCGAAGGCTCGATGGTTGTCTCGGCTGGTGGCCGTACGTCGGGGACCAATCGCTGTCGGGCGATATCCGACGTGTCAGGAACGAAGGGTCGCAACAGGCTCACATGGAATTTGTTGTGAATACGCCAGTCATCAGGTAGGCGCAGTTGAGCGGTCACCGGCGTCACCATCTTCACGCTCTTGAATGGGCCACAGAAACGTGATCGTAATTTTGTCGGTAGTGGCAGCCGTAAATTCTTGGTGTCCAAAAGGACTAGTTGCCCAGTCGTCATCGTAATATCCCGTCGATGTAAATCCGCATACCGTCGGGTAGTAGTGTTTGCCTTGCGAATAAGTTCGACAGCTTTGTCTCGGGCAGTCTGTAATTCTTCGACGAACTGCTGCGATCGTGGTACTTGACTTTCAACGTTGGTGGAAACTGTTGCTGTAGGGTCCATCCCGTAATTGAGATAAAACGGGGAGTGATTAGTCGTAGCCGAGGGCGCGTTGTTGTAGGAAAATTCCAACATGGGCAGCACGTCCTCCCATTTGTTTCGGTCGGGGCAGTTTGTCCGAATCAGCTGCTCCATCGTTTGATTCGTCCTTTCCGTCTGGCCGTCCATTTGGGGATGATAAGCGGATGAGAACTGGAGATGCGTGCCGTACCGAGCCCATGTGTCATGCCATAATTTTGACGTGAACTTCGGATCTCGATCGCTAATGATTGCTGCTGGTATCCCGTGTAGACGAACAACGGTCGAGATGAACAGGCGCGCTGTTTCTTCGGCTGTGATGGTTGTAGGACATGGTGCGAAATGCGCCATTTTCGTCAATCGATCGACGACAACCAAAACCGCGTCGTTTCCGCTGGGTCCGGCCGGTAGTCCCGTAACGAAATCCATCGTTACGTGTTGCCATGGGCGTTGAGGTGGCTCGAGGGGCTGCAACAGTCCTGTAGGTCGCTGGTGTGAGGATTTCATTCGCTGGCAGATCGGACACGCGGCCATGTAACGCTGCACGTCCGTCACCATATCTGGCCAGTAATAAAACCGCTGCAATACCTTCAGAGTTTTATCAACCCCGAAATGTCCCGATAAATTCGAATCGTGGACTTCTTGAATTAGTAATTCGCGAAGTAGACGATAACTTGGGACCCAAATTCGATCTGTTCCGCTTCGTAAGTAATAGACGCCTTTCCGTGTAGTCATTGGGAGATGGCCGTCATTTACGAAGAAGGGGTCAGTCGAATACCCGTGGGTAAATAGTCCACTCAGTAGCGGTTTGCTCTGGGCGACTAGTACTGCTGCGAGTTGGGCAGATGGTCTGGAAAGGGCGTCGGCAATAATGTTGGCGCCTTTTTTGTACGTGATCTTGTACGTGAAATTGGACTCCAGATAGTCCAGCCAGCGTATCTGCCGCGGGTTGAGATTCGGCTGCGCCCTCAGGTACTGTAGTGATTTGTGATCGGTTCGCACCGTCACGTCTGCTCCAGTCAGGTAGCACCTCCAGATTTTGAACGCGTGGACGATCGCCAGCATCTCCTTGTCGTGTACTGGGTAGTTGCGCTCAGCAGATTGCATTTTCCGAGACTCGTACGCGATTGGTTGAAGCCCGTTGCCGAAATCCTGCATGAGCACTGCTCCGATGGCGATGTCACTTGCGTCGGTGATGACCTCGAAGGGCCGTTCCGGGTCAGCGATGCGAAGTACCGGTGGCGACATTAAAAGAGTTTTTAATGCGTCGAACGCAGCTTGCTGCTTCTCCCCCCACTAGTAAAAAGTCCCCTTCTGCAGTAGGTCGGTTAGAGGTCCAGTTAACCCTGCCATGTTGGGTATAAACCGCCGCACGTAATTCACGAAACCCAAAAATGATTGCACCTGCTGCAGATTTGTGGGTGGTTTCCACTCCTGAATAGCCCTGAGTTTTTTCGGGTCTATGCGAATCCCTTCCGTGGAGATCACGTGCCCCAGGAACTCTAGTTCTTGTTTTAAAAACTCGCACTTGGAGCCCTTGGTGATGAGTCAATGCTGCTGCAACCGCTGAAAAACCGCTGCCAAATCTTTTAAATGCTGCTCCCGGGTTTTGCTGCAGATCAGGATGTCGTCCAGGTAAATTATTACGCATTTGTCGAGTAGATCGCGGAACACCCCGTTCATGGTGAGTTGGAACGTCGAGGGGGCGTTCGTTAATCCAAACGGCATCACCGTGTATTCGTAACTCCCATAGCGAGTACGAAACGCGGACTTGTGACAGTCGTCAGCGAACACTCAAATTTGATGGTAACCGCCACGAAGGTCGATCTTCGAAAAGTAACGAGCTCCGCGAAGGTTGTCGATCAGTTCGTTCGTTCGTGGGATTGGGTAGCGCGATTTTATCGTTACCCGATTAAGGGCACGATAGTCCGTACACATGCGAATGCCGCCGTCCTTTTTTGGCGTGAACAGAATTGGTGTTGCGAACGGTGAAGTGCTCGGCCGAATGAACCCTTTCGCCAACAGGTAGTCTAACTGGTTCCGTAGTTCCTGTAGCTCCGGTTGAGTCAGGCGCCATGGTGTTCGTACAGTAGGTTGCGCGCCGAGCTCCAGCTCGATCTTGTGGTCCTGGGGTCGTTCGGGTGGCAATCCACTTGGCAAGTCGTCCGGGAAAATCTCAGGATATTCCCGAATGAGTTTCGCCAAGTCATCCGGAACCGAGGCGCAGAGTTTGTTGATGTCGGTCGCCTCATTCTGCTCCGTCGATTCGGTTAGATGGACGGCGTATAAATCCGCTCCATTCTTGACCGCTCGATTGAGGCACACTGCGTTGACTCGTGTCGAGGTTGTCTCTGCTTCCGGCCACGTGGGTAATTTACGCCAACCTTTGTCGCACTTCACTGTGCACTCGCCTGTTGTTCAATCGATCTGCGGGTTGAATCTTCGCAGCCAATCGCGTCCCAATAGCACGTCGTAGCCGTCGAGCGTTGTCGCCAGCATCGGCGCGCTGAAACCAAAATCTTCGCCACACTTCATTCGAACGACAGGTACTTTGTCGCGTATCGCCAGCGGGGTGCCGTCCACCAATCGTGCGTCGATTTCGGGTATACACCTCTCCAGCGTCAGGTGTAGTCGTCGTGCTGTCTCCCGATTTATCAGGCTATGACTCGCACCTCCGTCGATGAATATTTTTATTTTTCTTCCATGAAGTCGGCCTTCTGCCAGTACAGGGTGGTCCACTGGGTCATCCTCCATTTTCAGCCGGGAGCGGTGGATAGCATGTATCGGAACCACTACTCGGTGGGGATGATGTTTTTTGGGCCATGAGGCAGGGTCAGTAGGGGGCCCGACCGCTACTGACGCTTGGCGTTTCCCGACCTGTCCTCGTCGTTCTTCTTCATCTGCTTCTTTCGGGGGCAATCGTGAGATTGGTGACCCGGCTGGTGGCAGTTGAAACATTGTCCCTTGCGAAAATCGTCCATGTGCTCCTTCGCCACTACGCCGTAAATCGTGGGCCGTGGATTCTGGCCACGAAAACGATTTCCCTCCCGGGAACCCGCTCTCGCATACGTCCGATGCGCGTCGAAGTTGTCTGCGATCCGGACGGCTTCGTGAAACGTCGCCGGTAGTCGTAGTCGGACCTCGCATTTAATGTCCTGCTTCAAACCCGAAATGAATCGAGCTTTCTTCTCGGAGTCATGCATGTTGGTGATTTGGTCGCATAATGCCATGAAGACTGACGCGTAATCGTGGACAGAACTCCACTTGCACCAGTTGTCCAGCTTCGTGCGTGCGTTGTCCGAGGCGGATATTGGCTCGAATCGTTCACGTAGAGCTCTACCCCACGCCTTCCACGTGCGAATCTTGGTCGATCCAAAAATCGCAGTTGACCCTTGGGCAGTAGACCCAAAGTTTCCGAAAAACCCCTGTGTGTCGCCTGCCGAAAACTCCCCCTCCTGTAGAGTAAATCGCCACCAATCTAGCGCAGGGCCCCGCAGTAGTGATACAGCCAGTCGAATTTTTAACTCGTCAGCAGTGATCCCAGCGGCATTAAAATACAGTAAAGTTCCGCCGAAAATAACCAGCCCGTAACGGTAGTTTTCTTATCTGTGGGGTTGAACGGGGGCGGCATTGTCGGTTTGATCGTCGCAGTCGTCACGATCGGCATAAACGCCAGTGCGGCTATAGTAGCGGCTGCTTCTGACCGAGCGGCTGCTGCTGTCGCTACTGCTGCTGCTGCTGCTGCTTCGGCTGCTGCATGTGCCGCCACGTCAGCTGCTGTGGCGGCTTCACTGTCCTTGCGCTCCTGTGACACCTGACGTGCGATTTCGTCCAAGACGGTTTCGACACGTCCGGTGCTGGCGACCTCTTCTTGGGCGGCAGATTTCTGACGCGAATCCTCTCGCGCCTGGCGTAACTCAGCAACTTCCGCACGAAGTCGCTCGTTGTCCTCCAGCACTGTAGCCATGCGTGTATTCATGGTGTTGAACTGCTCCCGAAGCTCGTTGAACTGAGCTTCGTCCATTTGGCGAATGCTCCGCCGGGGCAGGGGGAAATCCGTAATGTGCCTGTACTCAGGTAAGCGCAAACGCTATCGTAGTTGGGCGAATTAATCAGTCTAATTCGCGAGCAACCGCTTTGCAGCTTACGTAAGGGACTTACCCCCCCCCCCCAAAAAATCAACTCTCGAAAACGGGTGAGCGAGGAAAGTGGCTCTGATTACCAGGTGTTATGAATGAACAAGCAGAGTAGCGCGGAAATGAATAACGAAGTGTTCACTCAATGAATGATGATACAAGGAATGGCAAGCCAAGATATAGGAACACCAGAGCTAGTCTTACCCTGCGATGGTAAGGTTCGGGAAGGAGATCGAAGGGTCTCGAAGTGACGAAGCGAGGCCCGGAGAACTCCCGAAGGTCGAACCGAAAGGTCTGGAGAAGCCGAGGCGGTTCTGTCAGAAGGTCTGGAACAGTCCCGAGGCTTCGAGTGTGTTCGAGCGTACGCGATAGCAGCACCGCTCGGTAAGGAGTGGAAAATTCCTTACAGTGTGCATGCACTGTGCTAAATTAGTTTCCAAGTACGTACGGACATCCAAATTGGTGTTCCAGGTTTCGTGCAACTTCTTGCCGTTCTAAGGAAATGGTCGTGGAAGGAGGGGCCAGCCACAGCCTGATCAACCTCGCCATGGCCGGAAAAAATGAGGTTACCCTTAGATGGGTGTCTACCGGAGATTGACGCCCAACTAGTCGATGGGACCCCACTAGCAAAAAAAGACAGGGCAGACTCGATTAGGGTACGCTGCGGAGCTGAATTCAATTTTTCGATGGGGATGCTAGCAACTACACTCGACGGCTTCGGCATGTTGCTAAAACAGGATTGGCTACGACGTTTCAACCCAAAAATTGACTGGATGACCAGCAACTGTTCCGTCAAAATCAACGGCCGTAGTGTGGAGATACCAGAATGGACAAAGGGGATCACATGGTGAGTGACGCAGGACTACTCCGTGGTGATCAAACGAGCGGTCGCACGGGGCGCATAAGTTTTCGCTGTAGTTGTTCGCGCTATCGCCATGGCATCGCGGCCGTCCGATTTAGAGAAGCTGACAGCAGCTAAATGTGCACTAACTACAGAGTACTAAACCGGGTGACTATCAAGTCGCGTTACCCTATCCTACGCACCGACGAACGGATCGACCAACTTCGCAAAGCTCACTTCTTCTCGAAAATACACATGCGGGGGGGTTACCATCAGATTCGCGAAGTCGCAGCCGACTGTCACAAGACCGCGTCTCGTAATAGGTACGGGAATTCCGTGTATCTAGTTATGCTCTTCGGGCTGACGAGCGCTCCAGGAACTTTTCAGATGACCATGCACCATGTCATACCGTATTCTCCCGGATATAGTACCCGCCGGAATTAAGCTCCCGTGGGTGGCTTGAGCGGGTATGGGGGTTTAATTAAACGAGATCTAGTTACCACCCTAATTTTGGGCTTGAAAACAATTGAACACCTCCCGCCACTTAGAATCCTTATTTCGACAGGGAACAACAGGATTTGCCGTGCATAGTTGCATGCTTAAACGTGAGGGCGAGTGGGGGAAACGAGCTAGTGGTTAACCCGAATGTGTCCGAACGGAAAAAAAAAATATCGAAACCTCAAAATCCAAATTGTTCATTCTCGACTCTCGCGCCCTCCCGCTAAAACAAACCTCCGCTACCGCCCACTGATTGGAGGCAGTAAGGACGAGGCCTGCAGCACTCATTGATTGGCTGCTTTGCCAGCCTCGTCCTTGACTTTACTAGTTTAGCTGACGATATGGCAAGCAGAAGGGCCACACTGTAGGGTACGCGATGAGGACACGAGATGTTGATATGTGACACAAAACAAAGTGGTGTAACATGCACAACTATTTTGGAATTGAAAAACGCAGGTGCACGTTCCATAGAACCATGGTCTTATATTCCTTTTACCTTTAATTCCACCCACCCCAAAATTTTCATGAATTTTTATTAGCTCCCTAGGGCACTATATTCGGGAGAATACGGTGGGTCCAGTATTTAGCGGAAGCTTGAATGATACTAATCAAGAATTGAATGTTTACAAGCAAAGATTCAATGCTATTTATACATACGAGAACTCTAGGGAAGGGGAACTAGGACCTTCTAAGAGAGTTATAGAAATGAGTCGAATCGTCCATAGGAACATCATATAGAAGCACAGTAAGGATTCTAGAGATGCGGTGACGGTGACAGAACACTCCACGCAATAGAAAACATGTCACGCAATGAAAGTCTCAAACACTCCATAACTCATATGATATATATGAATATCAATGTGTATGAAAGAGTGTAGGGATTTCTACAAAAGGAAAACACACAAAATAAGACACAATAAATAGCATATCAGCAAATGATTTTGATCAAGGATTCGGCAAGCCTCATCCTCTCACACTTCCCCTCCTCAAAACTAGGTAGACGTTGAAAGCGCCCAGTTTTTCAGCAAACATTGAGGGTTGTTCGGCTCAAAGTAATCAGAGAAAATCAAGCCAACAAAGTTGTGCTTGAACAGCAGCTCCTCTGAACTTTATTCCACACACTCGTGAGCCTGTACGAATGCAGGTAGCAGGTATCCCATGTCGTATTTTATATCGTCGATGTAGAACGATAGTTTTATGCAAGCCGATATTGTCGTCGGAGATGTTCGGCTGCATTGTTGGTGTACCACAAAAATCCACCTTTTTATGAAGTACGAAATTATGCTTCGT